CTCTTTCTCTCTCTCACTCTCTCTCTCTCCCTCTCTCTCATCTGTGGCATTTCCACATGCCCGTACAATTTTCTTGGAGAGAGACAAGTGTTGGCTTGACCTCTATAACCATCTGACTGATTTTTCTTAATTTGATCTCGATTCTCCCTCTGTTCCAGCTATGACTACTTAGAGTTTGCTGATGCACGAGGCCTGAAGTTGCGGTTTGACGAGAAGGTGGGCACTGGACGCTGGCCTCGCAAAGTGACCTTCAGTGGGCCTTACGTCCTCTTCTCCTTCCACAGTGACAGCAGCAACACGGACTGGGGATACAAGTTTACCGTGAGTCATGGGTTATTGGCTAGTAGTCTGGTGCGGATTTGAACCTTTTTTCCAAGCAAACAACTGTTATCGTTATCTCTCCTCCTTTTCTTTGTGTGTTACTCTCTAGTAACACCTGTAATATTCTGCACTTGTTTATAACATATTTTTGTTGCAAGTGCCATAAAACTTTGGCTAAAAAATAAAACATGACATGATTCTCATAGATAATTGCAGTACTACTTGACCTATGGATACCAAATTGTCTTTGTCCTGAATGGGATTGTCATTGTGTTCAGAACATCAGGGTTAAAAGTTGTTGTTTTTTAATAGTTTGTTATGCACATACTCTTTTGCTATATGTATAATTCGGTGCTGCTTATAATTCATTCATATTGTAATTTTTATTAATTTCATATCCTAAATGTTGACAATTTTGGCAGAAGACAGTTTTCTCCTTCAAGGTTTGAATGTGTCTGTGTTAGTCCTGGCACAAGTTCTTCTCCTGTTACCTCTCATTACCCTAAAAGAGTAACGAGAGGCACTAGCGTTGTGCTAAGTGAATTCTCTCTGTCTCTGTTTTTGTCTGTGTGTGTGTGCATCTGATTTGTACATGTTTGTGTGTGTCAGGTAACGGCAAAAGGTGACCCAGATGTGCCCTTGTCCTGGCTCTCTGACCTTCACCTCTCTGTGGTTAAGCTCCTTGGACAGCTGTCTGGTGCAACTCTCAGCTCCAACCCAAGTAAGTCTCCAACATACTGCTCTGTGTGGGTGGTTGGCGGGTGCTCTGGTGTGGTTTGCTTCTTCTTTCCTATCAAACATCTATCATCCTTATCTCTCCTCCTTTTTTTGTGTTTGTTACTCTCTTGTAACACCTCTAATCTGCGGCACTTACATGACCTTATTGTGTTGCAAGTGCCGTAAAACACTTACAAAAACAAAATACTGCTCTGTGTATTTATTTGTGTGTGTGTATGTGTGTGTATTTTTGTATGTGTGTATATACGAGCATCTGTTTGTTCTGGTATGAGCATCTGTGTGTATGAGGGAGTGACAGAGAGACATACACATGAGCTTTGGTGTGTGCTGTTCCAGTCCGTACTATTGCTGTGTAAGTGTAGGTCTGTACATGCTGATTATGTATTTGACTATGTGTACAAACCTGCCAACCACTCTATGACAAAAAATGAGTTTTCCTCCGAATCCTTCTAAAAAAAATGTGAGTTTGGGGAAAAGTACAAAGGAGTAATGAGAACCCCTGTTGATTAAGGTTATGTACAAATCGAATGATGGCAGCGAATGAGTCTATGATGAGTTTACCTTCAACTGAAAGTCTCATGAGATTAAAAAAATTTCAGTCGCACAACTTTCGGAAAGAAGTGAAACTCGCGGGAGTGTATTTTCATGTTATTTAAGAAAGTCACAAATGACCTTACAGAAACAGAATTGGAGAAGAAAACGGGATTTTATGCAAATCCGATGGGGATTATTTAGTTGGCAAAAAAAATTTGGAGAGCTCCAGTTTTATCAGAGTACTTGGCAGGTTTGTGTATAATGTATCTCTGTTTGTCTGTGTGTATATCTGTAGTTTTGTGTATATGCATGTGTGCTTGTGTGGATGTAGGTGTGAGTATGTGTTTAGGTAAATGTGTCTGGTTTTGCACCTCATGTATTTCTCTGTGTGAAAGTGAGGAGGTGTGTGTATATATAGATGTGCTTGCGTGTAAAGGTTTGTGTGTGTGTACTTGGTGTATGTGTATGTGAGAGTGATTACACCTCATTTATGTGTCCATCTCCTGTAGTCATACTGTACAAATCCCTGCTTTGGCTCCACATAGATGTGTATGTGCATGCATGCTGTTTGTCTTTGTGTATGGGCATTACGTGATGTATTCTTATGTGCATGGTGTATGCATGTGTGCATGCATGCATGGTGTATGTGTATATGTATAACAGTGTGTGATGTATATGATTGTGTGTGCTTAGTGCATGTCTATATGTGTCCGTAGAGTGTCCATACACCTGACATATATGTCTCTCTGTCTCCCATAGTCATGCTGTACGAGAACCCAGGCCCTACTGAGGACCTAGTTGATCAGGATATTCTCCGCAGTGAGCTTTGGACCTCTTTGTTCCGCGGGGGATACATCGTCGGCAAACTGCAACGCTCGCTCTCTGGGAAATTTGTGAGTTCAGTCACTGGCTCCTCTGTTTGACGTTTTTCCTAGATTCATAACTTATTTCATGGATCTTTGATCTTGTATCTCTTTAATCGTCAAATGTTTTCTCTTTTTTTTAAACTGAACGTTTTTTTTCTCATTTGACATTTAAAGTGTTTTTCTTTTTGTCATCAGAATTTTCTAGTATTCTCAATTCTTTTTAAAATTTCTTTTAATTTGTCATGAAAAGTTGCTGTTTGTGAATTGGTCAGATAAATATAGTTATGCAAAGGAAATGCGTGTGGCTTGTAGAGCCCTACAGTTGGGGTTTCCACATTTTTATGCAGCATGCTTGTGTACATGACTATGTGTTTTTATACTTTAGACCTCCATGTAAATCTGTCTGTCTGTTTGTCTGTCTGTCTGTCTGTCTGTCTGTCTGTCTGTCTGTCTGTCTGTCTGTCTGTCTGTCTGTGTGTGTGTGTGTGTGTCTCTCTCTCTCTCTCTCTCTCTCTCTCTCTCCCTCTCTTTCTTCCCCCCCCCTCCCCTTCCCCTCTCCCTTCTCCCTCTCTCTCGTTCTCTCTCACTCCTTTGTCTCTTTTCTCTCCCTCTCCTTCTTTCACCTTTATCACAATATACTGTGTAACCCAGTGCTTCTGTTTTGTCCCCTCCAGGCAACGGGAGATGAGAGCCGAGTGAGCTCTTTCCTGTTGGAGGTGCTGTCTGTGGAAGAGAAGGGAGAGGAGAGCGCAGGCAACCATACAGCGGATGGATCTTTTCGGAAACAAGCCAGCCGATTCCTCACCAAGTCAGTCTTCATATGTGTGTGTGTGTGTATGTGTGTGTGTGCCTGAAGAAAGACACCAAATGTTAAAGTTTGACAGTTCGGGAGGTTTCTTATAATTATAGAAAATTCAATGATGTACACTATGTTCTTTGAACTTTTCAGATATCTCAAGAAGTTTTTGAGATGTTACAAGTTTTGAGAGCTGGTGTATAAAGATATGATATGGAAAAAAAAAACAGGTTTAAAATTTTACAAACGCAGTACACCATGAAGAGATAA